TTTGACAGAGATATTGAATTTTTAGTGGATTTTTCCTGCTGGACCCTAGTTCTACAGCAAAATCATATTTTCGAATTTCGACCTGAAACTTTGTCCAAATGAAGGCCTCGATCAGAGTAGCTTGTATAAAAAATTTCAGAATTTTTGAAAATATAGGCACTTTTCTATAGATAACATGGATACTTTGAAAGATTGATATCTCGGAGATGCAATGTCCAAAAATTCTGAAATTTTTTATACAAGTTACTCTGATCTAGACCTCCATTTGAGCAAAGTTTCAGGTCGAAATTCGAAAATATGATTTTGCTGTAGAACTAGGGTCCAGCAGGAAAAATCCACTAAAACTTCGATATCTCTGTCAAATCTCAACATGGGCACGAATCATTCGGAGGTTTCTCTAATCTAGTGGTCCTCTACCTAATGGGCAACATATGAGCTCAAAAAGCTTTTAATCACTTGGGAACGTTCCCTCGTAAGATTATGAAGTCAATTCAATTTGTCAATTACACGTTTACACTTGATAATTCGAACATTTATTGCTTTGTTCCAGATCTCTCGACTATTTATAATTAAGTCTTTGTTTTTGATTTTACCACACTCAATTACTATTCAATGACTGTTCAAATAGAATAATGAGAACTGGCGCTCATCAAAAGACTGCTAGAGGATAATTAGTGTTGGGTCTTGATTTTTTTTTAAATAAGATAACAGGTGATCTGTATTTTGATTGTTTCTTTTTTCTCTTCTTCTATGGGTTTGTATTTCAGAGAATCAACAGAATAAAGATATCTTCATTCAATTCGACTCCGTGTAGGTCTCTGGTGTACTATGAACGTCGAAAGCACAATTCTATTGATAGATTATTATCGCTCGTCTGTTTTGCATAGTTGGCCGAAATCGAAGTCAACTCTCTCTGCTTGAAATCTGTTTTATTCATTGATTATTTTATAGAACAACTTGAAACGTACGTCGAAATGAGAATACTGTTCAGAATTATTGCTATAAGTTTAAGGAACACTCGTGTAAATACGTTCTGGTGTATAAATACATCTAAACGCGTTTGAGAAATACTTTAAACCGTGTCCAGCTGTATCTGTCGAGCACATGATCGCATCTAGACTGATATATTCTGTGCTTTATGATTACATAGATAACATAATCTGCTATAGAGGAGTATTGATGTAAATTTCCCAGTTGGCATTGAACAGAATATTGAGTATATACACCTATACAGGGATTATACTAATAGAGTTTTTGAAAGATTTTTATTTTTGTTTTTCTTAAATAATACTGCTATTTTCATATGAATACAAAATAAGTTATTTCCTGTATGAAAATTAAATGTTTTATTAAGAAATAAATTGCTTCGTTAGCATATACACAATTCTGTTAGTTTTCCAATATCGTGAGTATGAATAGTTTTCTGTTATGTCTTTTTCTTCTATTTCAGCTACATTTGATATCTTATTTGTCCATGTAATATATTGGAGAATGTGAACAAATTCATGGTTCACTAATGGATTTCATACAGTCTGGAATGAAAAAAATGATCAAACGTGGTACAGCTAGAATGACTAAAGTAATAGGAGCAATCAATAAGTGACTGTGCCGTTTTAATTGTTCATGCAATAATTTTTCATAACGTTGATGTTGTTCAACAGTTTTTCGTTGTCGAATAGTTAATATAATAATGCTTAATGCTGAAATAAAATTAATGAAAAATGGAGTTAAAAAATCAAATATATTCATCATTGTACTGAAAATTTGAAGGCTGGATGAGTAAGTAACAATACACCAAATTCGTTTCTCGTTATCATCATCGTTATCAACGTCTATCAAACGTCGATGAATAGGATCATGAATAGTTGTACCGATATTCAAAAGTAGAAGAGTGAGAACAATATTTTTCGCCATGTGTTTGTTTTTCTACATATCAATGACTCCTTTTACTGTAATAATTGCTCGTTCTAAAGCCACGCCCGCATTCAATTATTGATTCACATTGAGACTGATTTGTAGAAGAAAATCTATTGAAACACATTGATATCGTAGAAATAAACGATTCGTAATATATGTGATTTGTGTAATCATAGGTATCCAAAATTTCAATGCAAATATAATCATTATGACTAGAGTAGTAATTGATAATCCCAGCAGATAAATGCCACAACCAATTTGATGTGTTTTCCTATTATTAAATGTAATTATGGATAGGGTACCATTAATGAATCCGACAATGATCATGACTATAGTGATTATTATACTTATTTGTACAACAAAAGGTTGATGTCTTATTGCTCTATGTGCCTTAATATGGTAACCTAAAATAACATCAAGTCAAAGATCAAATCCACTCGAACTAACTGCCTACCGTTTTTCATAA